TTTGAATTCTGCCTCTAATTCCTAGCTAAGATGAGAAAATTCCATTATTCCTGTGTCTCAGTTTCTTCATAAAATGAGGCTGACACCCAACTCCTAGGCAGTTCTGGCCCTCAAATGGGTTAACACACCAAAGTGCTTAGAACAGCATGGGCCGTGTACAGCTGTTACCCTGCTGGAGACCTTCTGAGGTGGCTGATCTGGAAGGGCTCTTTGCAGCATCCAGTGCAAGCTGCCTATTGACAAAAGGGAAATAGAGACTCCAAGGGGGACAGTGGTGGCCCCAGCACCCCAACCAGAATCCCCGATCAGGGTTGAGTTCTTTGAAAGCAGGGGCTGGGTTTGGTTGTTCATTTTCTATCCTTCTCCCCATGAGCAACACTGGGAGCAGGGCACAGTAGACACCATCTGTTTACTGAGCTGAATATTTCACCTGGCCCTTCTCTTAATTAGCACAGAGGAAAAGAACATGAGCAGATAGACTTGGGTTCAAGTCCCAGCACAGTCACATATTCACTGTGTCTTTATGAAGTTATTTCCCTTAGCTAAATCTCAGTTATCTCATCTGCAAAATGGACAGAAGAATCACACCTACCTCACAGGGTGATGGTGAGGGTCAATAAAGATAATGTATGCAGAGTGCTGAGATTGTTCCTGGTGCATAAGAAATGCCCCATAAATGCTATTTATAGTTACTAAAAGATTCAGTGTGAGTTGTTAATTAGCGAGTCTCTCTAGCACCTCCAAAATGGGATTTCTGTTCAAAAAAATCAAAACAAAACAAAACAAAACACAGAAACGGAGGTAAACAGCAGCATTCTGATTTAGGGCCACCATGTAGAGTTGCAGCACACAGCCATGGTTTCTTGGTGCTGATCATCTGAAGGACAGGGATGTTGTCATGGGGAGTTGTGGAAGATGCCATGGGGTGACCTCAGGACCTACCAGCCCTGCAGTCTCTGTTTCTAGAAGACACACACAGGCTCAAGATCGTGGCACTCAGGACACAATGCACATTGAGGTCGGGCCACCAGCTGTTTAGAAATGGCAATTCCTCCAGAGAAAGGAGTCATGGGTCCCCAGGCATGGGTTCTGCTGCCTGATACCCCTTCCCTACCCTTCACATGGATTGGGCTTTTTGCTGGCTGAGGCTGACTGGGGGATGGAGGGTGGGGGTGGGGAGGCTCCGGACACCCTGTGGGGGAGCAGTGTGGGAGGGAGCCAGAGGAAGGAGACAGGCTATGCCCTGCAGACACAATGTTTACCTGCTTATGTGTTTAGTAGGATGCCAGCTCCACTACAGCAGGGATTTCTGTCCACTGAATCCCCAATGCATAGAACAGCGCCTGGCACATAGTAAGTGCTCAGGAAATGACTGGCAGATGAATGAACCTGGAGCTGCAAGGACAGCTGGAATTGGGGTTGCCAAGAACAGGTGGAGTTTTAATAACAAGTCCCCACTTATGGCATTCTGTGTGCCAAGCATGTCCTCACTTTGTTTTTCTACATTTAACCACTTAATCCTCAGAACAAAGCAGACC